CTCTCGGCTATGCTACAGCAGGCGATCCACGCTACCATGGATAAACTCGACCTATCCTTGTCGCGGGCTGCTTTGGACGCAGAACCGGCACTGGTGCCACCGACGATTTTGGCCAGGTCTTTGAAGTGGGGCAGTCGGTTGATCTCCTACCTGTGGCCGCGAACCGGGAGAGGGCCTCCACATCCTGCCTCGGCGGCGGCTTCGCCGTCCGACGCCGAGCCTTCGGACTATGACAGCGAGCCTGGCGTCGACGCCGAGGACTCCCCGGGCGTCGACTCTGTCGCCTTCTCTTTTTTTTGGCCGCGAGCGGGAGCGGGTGGATGGGTTTCTTTTGAAGGCTGGCCACCATATCGTGATAGACATCACGAGAAGAATATTACAAGTAATCTATCGAGGGCCCTGCTTGAAATAAGGAGTTTGATTCACACGTGAGTTCGGACTCACGCCTCTCAATGACAGTCTGTTTGTTGTATATACGGACGCTTCGCGTCAAGGCACGGCGCCAAATAGAACACACTGTGTCTAGGTGAGGGCCCTCTAGGGATCCCATGTCTGGGGCGTCTTGGGGTTAGGCTCTGGGCCTGGCTCCCTTTAAATGGGTTGGGGCCCCGTTCTCGGATCGCTCCTGAAATGGGTGAGTGAGCCTAAGAACGTTTAGCTTAGCGAAAGGGCCATCGGGTGGGAATGTCTTGTGCGGCGCGTCGGTTGTTCCCGGCCTCTGCCCGACGCCGCCGCTGCTCAATAGACCAGGGCACCCGCCCATGGCTTCCTGCACGTTTTCACTCCCGAGCTGCTGCACTCAGGGCGAGAATCGCTCTGCCATTTACCGCTTCCTCCAGCCATCCCTCCCTCGCTTCGGACCCAGCCGAACGATGTTGCTTGATCTACGAATGTCAAACATTCAGTCTCAGGTCAAGTGCGGGGAGTTTCTTTTGAAGGCTGGCCGCCATATCATGATAGACATCACGAGAAGCATGTTACAAGTAATATATCGAGGGCCCTGCTTGAACAAGGAGTTTGATTCATACGTAAGTTCGGACTCACGCCTCTCAATGACATTCTGTTTGTTGTATATACAGACGCTTCGCGTCACGCCACGGCGCCGAATAGAACACACTGTGTCTAGGTGAGGGCCCTCCAGGGGTCCCCTGTCTGGGGCGTCTTGGGGTTAGGCTCTGGGCCTGGCTCCCTCTACATGGGTTGGGGCCCCGTTCTCGGATCGCTCCTGAAACATGCATACACACATACACACATACATGCATGCATGCATGCATGCATGCATGCATGCATGCATGCATAAAAACAGAACAATGCATACATACACACATACACACATACACACATACACACATACACACATACACACATACATGCATGCATGCATACATGCATACATGCATACATGCATACATGCATACATACATACATACATACATACATACATACATACATACACACATACATACATACATATGTACATACATGCATGCATGCATGCATGCATACATACACACATACACACATACATACATGCATACATACATACGTGCATACATACATACATGCATGCATGCATGCATACATACATACACATACACACATACATACATGCATACATACATACATGCATGCATACATACATACATACAGACAGACAGACAGACAGACAGACAGGCAGACATACATCCATACATACATTTGCACGCATGCATGCATGCATGCACACATACATACATACACATATTCATCTATATATATATATATATGTATACATGCATGCATGCATGCATACATACATACATACTTACATGCACGCCTGCACGCGTATATACATACATACTTACATACATACATACAGACGAGCAAGCATATATACTACCTGTATACAGACATATACATACATACACATACAAACATACAAACATTCGCACATCTATGCATACACATATACTGTATTTACATACATACCAGTCAACATACGTAAATGCAGACATACATACATACAGGCTTACATAAAACCATACATACAGACAGACAGACAGACCGACAGACAGGCAGACCGACAGACAGACAGACGTACCCACTGCGGAGCGGAGCCCCACCCCAGGATGCACGAATCCCCCCGGGAAGCACGGCTGGCATTGCCGGTGCGGGCCAATACGACCCCCCCTGGGATGCACGAAACCTCCCGGGACGCACCGACGCGGCCCAGTACGAACCCCCCCGGGATGCCCCAGGATGCGAGAGTCCGGGAGTGTGCATGTAGGAGCTCCCGTGGAGCGCGTGCGAGCGTCCTGGGTGCTGGAGCGCCAAGGGGGGGCGGCCTAGTCGGCGGAGTCGGCGGCGGCGGCGGCGAAGGCGACGGCGACGAACGACGACGACGACGACGACGACGAAGACGACGGCGACGATGAATGCGACGACGACGGCGACGATGACGACGACCACGACGGCGATGACGTACATCCAGAGGCTCCAGCCTGCAAGAAGCCCATGCACATTCCTCCTTATTCGCACTTCTCTCAACCTGTCCCCCATCCCACCCAACGCTAACGTCCTCCCCGCTCCCGCACGAGC